TGTCTGGAAAGATGGACATTGAGTCATTTTCTCTAAGGCTGGTGTCACTGCAAAATGCAGTGCTATGTAGATATATTCAAACTAGCTCCAAGAAAATTAACTTGTGAAGCTAAGTAGGATGTTTTAGCACAACAGAGAACTGAGCAAACATGTGTTGTTTCATTCCTCTGATACCAGTCTAGTCCACTGTCAGTTTTTAAGACTGCTCAGGAATCACATAATTTGAATAATATATTACCTAGCAAGTGTTGTACAACCTGTTCCAACTTAGATCACCCATTTCTGTTCCACAGTTATAGCTGTCAGAGGCTCAATAACCACAAGAACAACATATTGTGAAATCTGGACTTTGTACAGAGAGCCAACAAAAACTTGATGGAGAACATCAGTCATTGTATTCCCTTCTGGGGCAAAATGTACTACACTTTGTGTTTCTGAAGAAGAAAACATAGCAATGCAAATTAGTAAACAGTTGCATGAATGAGAATTTTATCAAAATTTCTTTTGTTCACGCTCTTTGCCAGACAGTTTCCATTGGAAAATGTCATTTGAATTAAGCCTTATTATTTTTGCTGATTCGTAATTTAAGAGATGGGGAAAGCTCATGAATTTATAAGTATTTGTTCACAAAGTTCCCATAAAAATGAGAAATCTTTTAAAACAATGTTATTAGAATAAAAAAAAAGGATACTTTGGATTAGATGCTGCTCATTTCCAAGATTCTCTTTTATCTGTAAGTGCAGCCTGCAGGTTCAAAATCCTCACAGAAAAGAATTCGTAATGGAATAGCTTTCTGTGTGAACCTTATCACAGGCTATGCTATTCCATGTACCTAAACTGTTTTGGCAAGAAGCCTTTTGAAAATCCTCAGCATTGGCATGACACTGATAAAAATGAACGATTTACAAAATCATATTAACATTCATAAAGAGGAAATGAAAAAGTTCTTGATTAAAAACCTGGTTTTAATTAACTAGGGTTTAAATATTAGCTTAAAACATGCTGATATATTTGTGAACTTTATCAGAGTACTAATGTAGATAAAACTGACATTTAGGGTGGGAGTCAGCTTTGGAGAAATAGGGCTTGATTCAGTTCCCTAAATAGAAGCATCTTGTGTCATGTGAGACTGTCTGGAAAGGCACAGTGTTTCCACAAGGATGTTCTGAATTCAGTAGGCCATACCAGGTGCCTCTGTGTTTAGACAAATGAGATGCTTTCCTAAATGCAGCGGCCAGATTCAGCTGACAGAACACGGGTGTGGTGTTACTGCCTGAATGAAGCTGCTGACAGATGGAGGTCAACACCTCAGGCAAGCTAAGAGCTGCTGCAGCCAGTGAGATTGATTGTAAAGATTTTAAAATCATAGAAAATTCAGGGAGTTAGAAAGAAAGTTAAGCTTGGCAAGCCCTGGGAAAAGTGTTAAAAGTGGGCCCTGGGAAATGTTAGGCCTTGATCATGTGAAACTGAACCTGTGTAGTCAATATATGATAAATAATATAATTGTTTGCTGTGATTAGATATAATTGTTGTTTAAAGAATCATGAGAAACTATGGTTTGGGTGGATCATGAGAAATCCATGCTTGGGTAAAACCAGTGCATACAATAGGACAATGTAAGTTTAATAATTAATATGTAAGTTGTATAACGATAGAGCATAAAAACATGTTCAACTCAAAACCAAACTGGGTCAGATTTGGGTATGTGTACCCCTGACACCCAGAGCTCTTTAATAAAGCACCTTCATATAATCATTCTGTGATTATGTGTGTTCCTGAACACTAACAAGATCAGGTTCAGCTCAGTTGTCCACATGAAGTCATTGACCAGTGTTCAAGAGGACCAAAGGGTCGCAGTGGCTGACACAGAACCTACAGAATGTCTGTGTCCTCCTCAAGTGGCAGCTGGAGAGCTGCTGTAGTGACCATAATTCCTGAAGTCACACTAGACCTCGAATTAATGCACCTGTGGGGCCTAGATGGCCATTGAGCTTTCTTGGAATAAAATGCTTTAAATGTGGGTTAAAATTCACCTACATAAACACAGACATCTCGTGCCACTATGATGCCTTGAAGTGTCCTACTCACCTTCACTGACCGCTTCCTTAGGGCACAAGTTTTCCAGAAGGCCTGTTCACATCTGTGTTTTGCAAAAACTCTAACTTTCCTTGAATGTAGCTAAAAACATTTCCCAACTTTTCCTAAAGTCTTGTGGCAAAATGTCAGCTCTGGATGAACAAAAAATATGCCCCCAAGGACAAGGACACCACTTCCAGAGCTGGCAGGTTTGTTTCCTTGGTAAGATTAGTGCCACGTGACAGCTGAAAGCAGAGCAGGTAAATGGGCCAGGAGCTGCTACATGAGCCATATCCTCAGAAAATCTTTAAAAATGCATTTCTTTAGTTCAACAAGACTGAGGCTGGCCTGGGCTATTCTGACAGACATTGTTACCTACAGCTGATGTTACCAAAACAATACCATCTCATTTAAATATTGTCATCCTTCAGTATGTCATGTTAAGGCTCTAATTCAGCATCCCCAGTTCTGGATTTAAAGGTATTTTCACAATGCAGGTCCTTTCAGAACACAGATCTGTGTTTTGCTGAGCTGTATAAAAACAGACTACTTCCTTAGAAGACCTGAGCAGATAGTTGTTTCCTTTCCTGTTTGTACTATGAAGTTATAAGCATGAACCAAAGATTCAATGAAATCAAACTAAGAATTAATTTAAATGCTCTACTGAACTGCAGCACATTTTAATTTCTCAGGCTCTGTTGACGGTCTCTCATGATGCACTGGCTTTTTGATCCGTAGCAAAGGCTCTTATAGAAAATACATTATATACAAGAATGCACACACATGAATTCCTAGGAAAGATTAGAGGAAAAGACTAAAAAAATATATGATTCCTTAGTATATTTCCCAAGAGTTGTACAGTTTCTGTGCATTTAGTAACTTCGGTGAAACATTGTTTTGACCAGTTTTCATTTGAGCATGTGCAAAACTTGTGGTATTCACAACATCATCCATTGTGATGGTCAAGCTCTCCATAGCTAATTGTGTTTGCTGTGAAAAATCCCTTTTGCCTTTGAGTTGAACTTGTGTCCCAACAGCTTTAATAGGTGACCCTTAGCTCTTCCTATGCTGGAGGATGTAGGAAGCAATAATCTTGTGTTGACTCTATCCTTGCCATTCATTTTTATTTCCTTCAGGAGTGATCTTTTCCAGGCTGAAAAGTCAAAGCTAACTTAGTCCTAGATGTCTTAGATGCTTTCAGCAAGAAAGCCAGCCCACACTAGGAATCATCCATTTCAGCCTTCTTTGTATTTTCCTGGCTTTATTATAGCACTTCTGAGGTACTACACACAAAATGCCTCTCTGACAGTCAGCTAAACACAAACTGTTTTATGCTAGATAAATATCTTACCTTCTCTTCCTGATTATTTTTCAGCATTTCACCAAAATAAAGCCATGAAATATCCAAATCCATACTGGAAACATGTTTTCAAGGTGATGAAAAACCTAATGGTTAACGATACTGTTCCTTGCTAGATTTCTTCCAGACCACAGTACTAACTAGGATTTAGTAGGATATTGAATAGCTGTCACACCAAGAGAGAAGGAACTGCATCCTAGGGAAAGAGAAAGACTGGAAAGTATGTAGGGTCACATGAAAGGAGTGATAGAATCTGCTATCCCATTATAGTTATATGGAAAAACCAGTCAGAGAATCTTTTAAATGTGTTGACAAAGTAAGGGCAGAAAGGTCATTTTCACTAGGGTCATGGCACTGGTGAGACTAGTAATGGAATGTAATATAAAATGCTAATATAAAATGAGTTTTAAACTTACACTGAAATCCTCTGCAAGATGATGCAGAGTCACAACATTTTTTTCCAGGCTGAAAAATTATACTTTTTCCGTAAAATTTGTTTCTCTGATGAACATAAAATACTTTGGTTACATCTAATCTATCTGCTGCCCTGGAGTGGAGATTTTTTGGTAGTCCTGACCCATGGTTTTCATGCTGCTTGAAAGCCAGAATTTTGTTTACAAAGAAGTCAGATTGTGGGTGATGGGAGGGGAATGACATATGCCTTAGTCTCACTCTGATAAGGAGCTGGGATGGTGCCAGGGTGCCATATAGACAAAGCTTAAACACTGGCTTCGTTGCAGAATACATAAAACTCTGCTGGGAGGGAATACCAGATATAAAATGGGTCTTTAATCTTGCAGACAAATTCCAATTAGGAAAGCACCACACGCTTTTTACACCAGGCATGATTAATCACTGGAACAAACTACCAGTAGAATTGATGAATTTACCCTTTCTTGACACCTTTGAGTCAAGACTGCACGCACTCCTGGAATTTATGTGATAGCTAAACACATGTTATAGTCAAGTACAGTACCTGTTATTGAGGTTAATATTCTGCCTAATTTTTTTTTTTTTTTTTTTTTTTTTTTTTTAATATAGTGGAGGTAAAGTTAGAGGTCTTTTCAGGCTTGGAACTCTTTAAAGCTGATAAAGACTATTATGGACAGCACTTCTCTTTTCTATATGTGATCATCCTCCCTGTATTCTTATCTTGCACTTTCCTTGTGTTGTCTGTGACAGTTTCCATTTCAAATTTGAGCCCCTTAAATCTTTTAAAGTATCTTTATTCCCAAACAAATGAATTAATGAATCCCATAGGAATTTAGTAGACTAATAAGAGACCCTAAACGCTTAATTGGATTTGAGTCCAAACACTTTCCAACAAGCAATAAACAAGAAAAATGAAGGTAAAATACCTAATATTCACCAGCAAGACTCATTCTATGTAACCTTTGTTTTGTAGCAGCTAGTTCCTCATGACAGCACAAAACTAGGAAGTTCCTGGGGAACCAAATAAAATTTCTTGATCTGTTCAAGAGGCATTTGAATAGCTCTTTTCATAAAATAATAAAAATCAATTTTCAGAAAGCGGAATCCATTGTCCTAACTAATATTTCCCCCTCTGTCTTATCCATTGTCACATCTCTATTTTCTCTTACTCCAAAATCTAATGACTCACCTTTCAATTTTCAGCCCTCCAAGTCAGTAAATAACTCATTGTTCCTTACCCACATTTAGTATTTGTATCTTTCTGGAGTCTAGGTGCTATATATTTAGGCCAAGTAACCATACAAGATTTAGTCTTTGTTTTCCTAAGCCAAACTCTTTTACTTCCTCCACTTAAAGACAGGTTCTCCATTCATATAACATCACTGTGTTGGCCTTCATTATTCTTTCAGTTAGAATTGGTCTTTCTTAATTGTGGATGACAATGATGCTCTAACGGAGGTCTCAGGAGGGCTGTAAATGATAGCAGGATCTCTCTACATCTCCTGAAAAAAGACAAGCTTTGCATTAGCCTTTTTCACAGCTACATCACATCAGTGGCTTGAAGCCATCTAGTGACTGTGTAAGACATCCAAATCTCTTTACTTTTCATTAGTTGTGACTGATAAATTTCCGCCTAAAAGTAGAAATTCTAGTTATCGGTCCCTGAGGGCACAAGCCTGTACTTTGTGCTATTGGATTTTATTCCTTTTCTGGTACTCCAGTTCTCACTATCTGACACTTCTCCCAATAGTGTATCTGGCTTCTCCTTGGCATGGCCAGTGCTGCCTATCTAGTTTGTACTGACAAATTTCAGTGCTGGAATTCCTTTTGTACTTATTAGTGCTCACTGCTCTGTGTTATTTGTTCTGAGTCTTCATGAATGGTGATCAGTGTCAATAAACGTATTGCCTGAAAGAATGCATTTGTAACAATCTCTACTGTAATAGTAACTGTTCACTGATGGATTTTCAGCAATACTTACATAAGGATTTCTGCCTGGTCCTTGAAAGGGGTGAGAAATGAGAACAAGGGGCTTCCATTCCTGTTGTAGTGACAGTGGATGTGGCCCATTCCCATGGGGAGCACACAGGGGTTTGTCTGGGCACACAGAAGCTGGCCAGGTGTCAGCACATCCTAACAGGTGGTTGGCTCTTCCATCTTAACAAGAAAAAAACAAACCTTCTGCAAAAAAAATGGTAATCTCCTCAAAATGACAGGTCTGCAAAAGGGTGTAATTTACTCATAAACATGCACAGGGATTTGCAGATTACCTTCCAGCCCCATCTGTGGGTAGCTCATCATGCTGATTGCATGTCTGCTTGGGGGGTTATTTTCAGGTTACATTTCCTTTTTAAAATCTGGTAATAGATGTTGATTTTATGCTTAATCTCATAACTTTTTTGGATAATTATTAAAATATTGAGTAAACAGTGTTGACACAGGACAGTGCATAGAAATTACAATACAGTTCTTTCTTTGTTGGATATAAATACTGTGAGTTCATTCATCCTGGGCAGTTAATATAAAGTACACAAATACTCACTAAAAAGCAAAGATTATATAATCCCTGCTTATCACAAAAAGGATGCCTTTATAGTGTCCATCTGAAGGCAAATTCTGCCTACATTCCATCTCAGAGCATATAGATAAGTGCATTTCTCAAATTCTTTGGTGACTATAGAATTTAAATATGAAGATGCATTACTGGTTTCATTAGAAGCACTTAAATATTTGATTTCAGAGACTAGATCTTTGTCACAAGGTAAATGATTAATATTATTTGGCATCTAATTATTTCCGAATATTTTTATTGCTATATATTAAATTAGGGGAGACTAGAAAGGAAAGAGTACAGTTTGAAATTGACTGCCAGCTTCTAAATGAGATTGTTTCTCCTGAGACTGTGGTGATTGGAACTTGCATTAGCAGCTCATTGAAGCACATATACTTCTTCTGACATATGTTATAGTTAGATCTTTTTATTGATGCCAAAATGCTTTAAAACTTTGTTTTAAAATATCACCAAGCAAGATTCCTTCCTAGAAATTGTTTACATTGCAATTATGCATTTTGCAACACTCCAAATATATATTACTGTTGCATTTCATGGCTATAACACCAGCTAGTAATACTGTGTTTGTTTTTTTTCCCTATTGCTATTTGTTTTGCAAATATAGGACTGTATTATTTGTGATTTTCTTTCCACTTACAAAATGTTTCATTACTTATCAGAATAATGAATAATAATCTCTTTCAATATTTCTGTTGAGATACAAAACTGTACTCTCATGATAATATTTGCTTATTGTCCTCCACAGTATGAAGTTGCAAATATTTGACCTTGACTTACATATTTGGGTGGAATAAATACAAACTACTGCCTGAATAAAAACTAGATTGATTATATCTAAAATGACTGAGGTCCAAATCTTCAAAGGTTTTAAAATACCCTCACTAACATTTTGATTTGTGTTTTTAAGAAAAAAAAACAAAACACAAAAAATCCCCAATGTATATTGTAACATCCTTATTTGTGTTGATAGTACCTCTAAAATATTAGAAGGCTCATGAGAGAACCTTAGGTCCTAAGACAATAACCTTGAGACTACAAACTTGTCCAGTATTTTTGGTTCAAACATAAGGTTGGAGTTTGAACATATTCCTTTGTTTTTTTTGGTATATCTAGATAATCTGTGTTTTAATTTGAAGTGAACTGACAAAGGACTTGGATGAAAACCACCTCAAAAAGAAAGTCCTGAGGAGTCTTTTAGCACAGTGATACAGCCTCTTTCCTTGACAATCAGCAGAGATAATTAACTTTAAACTAATTTTGCAGAAAAAATGTTTGCTCAGTTTCTGATTTGAAGTTGGTTCAGAGCAGTCTACCCTGAAACAAAGGAGTGAGTTTATAACTGCCAGGAAAACTTTTGGCTTTGTGTCTTTACAACATAACCTTGATCCATAGTATGGCTTGAAAATGAAATACAGACCAACATGACTCAAACTGTGGAATTCATTTCACCTGACCCCAGCTACCCATTCTGTAATTCTATGTCTTTGAAGTATTCTTATAGACTCTTGTCATGGACAGAGGTAACAAAAGACATTTCTAGGTTGCAAACAATCTATCCAAAAATAGTAATCTGAAATAGGTTAGATGAATTCTAGAGTTGTCAATTTTTCTTCACTGACTATAAAGAGAGGAGGGAGAACATCCCTCTGTGGAATATTTCATGATGCCCAGTATCTGTTGGCAAATGTCAAATTGAACACCTCCTAACTATAGAGCTGAATTGCTCTTTAGACTCCACAAAGTATTGACAAGATTTTTTTCTTTTGATAGATGTTTATGTTCTTAGTGTACATAAACCAAACTAGTTTATTCACTTAAATTTAGGTATCTAAGTCTTGAACTCAGCAGAGTTGAAGGGATTTGACAAATTGCTCATAAAATAGGTACCTACCATTTGAGATATGATGGAATCATATCTATGAAAGTCATAGAATCATAGAATGTCCTGAGTTGGAAGACACCCACTAAGATCATCAATCCCAACCCCTGGCTGTGTAAAATACAGCTCCCCCAAAAATCACACCATGTGTTGAATCTGCATGGGGCTAGCAGGACAGATAAGAGGCCTACAGATGGACCCATGTCCTCTGTCCCAGCAGGCTGGGGGACTGACACAACAGACCACAACATTTCAAATGGCAGTAGATGCCTCAGCTTGAGGCACACTCTGGGTGTCAGAATCTAACCTACCTGGGGCTGGTGAGTCACTGCAGGGGCTTTCTTTAGATAAAAGGACAGAAAGTTTCTGATATTTGGAAAGAAAGAGTGAAAGACCAAATTCTGGAATACAACAGAACTGCTAGTCTGCTGTGGAGCAGCCTCAGGTTGTTCACTTGGGAGGGGAGATTGAGGAGAAGTTTCTGTGGGGGGATGGTTCAATGTTACAGTTAAAGTACAGCAGTTCAGGAAAGAAAATTTTAATGATAAAGAACTGGAAAAGAAAAGGCATAATCATAATAGCCCTGACAATTGGCAAGTCATGGTTCAGGTCCCAATAATCATAACATTTAAGAAGCAACATGATAATAAAGTTATATAATTTAAGTTTATAATAAAGTTGGTCATGTATGGGTGCTGCTTGTTTTTAATTGTCTTTACTGGACCCAGCTTGTTCATCCTGTATTTCTCACAGGATGTAAGATTAGAAGCATGTGTCTTGAATGAAACAACATCTAGTGGCATGCCTCCAGAAAAATGGCACTTCGGGAAAAATGCACCCTGGAGTTTCCTAAAGAAATCAAAACATCAAGATTAACTTGTGCTTTACAAGTTTAATTTCCATTTCAATTACTCCAATGGCTGTTCCCATTTGGTGAAGTCAAGCAGGAGCCTTTCCAAGATGCTGCCTCCTGGTTCTCACACATGTGATTTTGCTAAAGAGCTCTGTATTTTCCAGAGTCAAACGAGGACAGCCTGCCCTGCTGTCAGCCACGCTCCCCTCAGAACAGACAATCAATAGCTGCTGACTCTCCATGCAGGGCTCTCGCTGCCTCTCTCCTTGCACAGCCTGTGTTAAGTTCTGCTGGGGATGTGCAGCCTGATATAAAACTTTCCATTCAGATGAGCAGATTTGACAGATTTGTCTACTTATTAATGGACTAATTTCAGCAGAATTTAAGATGCAAATTTATTCTTGGCCTATTTTCCTTTTTGCACTTTCCGTCTCTGTTTTCTCCCCTGTGCTTTTTCCCTGGCTGTTTACATTCCCTCATCTCCTTTGGTCCATATTGATAACATTAAGAATGGTAATCTTTTAATCTCCCATAGCTCACTAGATTACCTTTGCAGTGAGGGAAGGCTCCAGTGAGGCTGGGAGCCTGTGATCTTCCCTCCTTACACTGTCCTCGTGGGAGGCACCCCAAAGGGAAGTGCCAGGCCTGCCTCCCCTGCAGCAGGCAGAGAGCATTTGTAACAGCACAGAGAATAAACTCCTGGCATGAGGAAGGGCAAAATTAGAAGAAGCCAGCTGAACTTTTTATAGTGTCTGTACTGGCAGTGAAATGCAGTGGGGGCAGGTCACCATGGTGGCCATTTTGTGAGGAACAGTGGCCACACCAGCAGCCATCTTGTCCTTGCTGAGGGGGGCTTGGTGCCTCCAGAGCTTCTTTTCCACTAGAGCCAAGCACAGAAAATACACCAGTTCTGTCTAAATTTGGACATCTTTTTTGGGTGTGGTGAGAGAGCCTGAGGGACAGAGGCATGTACTTCAGCCTGGTGAGGGTTTATGGGCTGCTACAATCCTCTAAGGGTAGCAGAGAGTCACAGAGCTGTGGAATCATTAAAACTGGAAAGGACCTCCAAGATCACCAAGTCAAAGCTTCAGTCTCGTAGCACCATGCTCCATATTAAATGACATTGTTTTTATCTTTGTTTCAATAGCTACTCATTCATTTAACACTTCCAGGGATGGTGACTCTACCACTTCCCTGGGGACTGTTTCAATGCTTAGCCACTCTTTCAGTGAATAAATTATTCCTAATATCCAACCTCAACCTCCCCTGGTTCACCTTGAGGCCATTTCCTCTTCCTCATCATCTCCCATCACCAGCTGCCTGGGAGAAGAGGCTGATCCCCAAAGGGGCACCCTGCCAGCCCCTCCTGTTCCCTGAACTCCAGTGCAGGAGTCCAGAAGTCTCTTCCATGCCACAGGATTTGAGGGCTGACGGATGCTGCAGGCACCTGCTGTGTGGAACCCTCTGCTGCTGAAGTCCTCCAGATATGGCAGCTGGATAATTGCTTTGGCAGGACACAGGAGCTGAGTCCTTCCCCTGCCTTTTTCTCCTCAGCTGTGGGAGGAACAAAGCAGGCTGAGCCTGCTCTCCCCTCTCAGCAGGATGGGAACTGCTGAGCTGATCAGGATGGACCTCACAGGTCTGAGACTGTGCCAGTCGGGCTGATCAGAAGGACACAGCGAGCTGTCATGGACATTCAGCCTTACCTACCAAGCAGCACTGACCAAGGCACTTCCAACTCTCCTCATCGGCTTTTAAATGAGATGGAACATGTATAGTTTTAGGAAATAATAAAACACCCAAGCTCAGTTAAAAAAATGAATTACTCTTTGGGAAGGATGGGGAACTGCTGATGCCGCAAGGCCTGGACAGTGTGCTGGCAGGGAGCTGCCAGGATGCTTGATCCACCCAAGTACATGCACTCCTGGGAGCCAGGAGGATTCACCACCCACAGTTTTCTGAGCCCAGAAGCAGGATTGAGTCCTGTGGTATGGTCAGGAGGAGACATCACCCTCACAACTTAGGGGATATTAAGACAAAGCAACACTGAAACTAGGCTGTAGTCTGAAATACTACAATAAATCTTTCTTCTGAGGAAGAGGGGTCTTTGCCATCAACCTTCTATAAAAGAGGTCTTTATGACAATTGATTGTCTTTATGACAATCTCTTTTATTCCTTCCTGTGACTCAGACACCTTCTGGTTTCAGCACTCAGTATCCATCTTCAGCCATTAAAAGCAATAGGATGTGGCGCAGAAAATGTTAATATAATTCAGAATTACAAGGTTTCCCTTTGTTTCCCTTTTTAGTTACTTTCATGGTCCTACTGATCTTACAAGAACATGTTGACTCTTGTGAGGGTTTTTGAGACAAATAAAACTCTCATGGCAAAATATTCTCAAAATATCTAGAGATGTATATGTTCTCCGCTACCATGATAGGGAAACAACACAATACAAAGTTTGTTTCCATTTTTATTAGGGAGTTGACAATTACAGGTTCGCTTCTGTGGTTCCCTGTTTGAGATGCAATTTTACAACACCTTCCCCAGTCTTCCTTTGAAAGTTTTCTGATGCCCTGAGGTGCTTCAGCTGCTTACATGACACAGAGCCAGCCAGGCTCAGTCTGTTATGGGATTTGTTCCCTCCTGGACACCTGGATGGATGTCCCAGCTTGACTGAGTGCAGTTTCCATGGTGGCAGCAGGACTCTGGTATAGAAGCTGCCACTCTAGTATGCAGCTAAAATAATTTTCAAAATGGTTTTCCACACTTTCAAGCTATTTCCTGCAGAATAGTGAAAGACAATGGCTGGAAGAAGAGAAATAAACCAGCATTTGCTGAAATTCTGCAAGTCAGGGTAGCTGTCTGCCAGTGCTTTGGATGTCAGGGATACCCATTGACTCGCTATGACTGTTGAAAGATCTGAGATTCACCTAAACTACTACTCAAAGGTTTTTCACCACCCAGAGTTCTTGAACAATGCAAATGTTTCCTAATAAATAGCATATTTTAGCTTCAAAGCTCTTTCCTTGCCAAATAATAAGATCATGGTAGCTTTGTTCTTAATGGATGGATTCTTTATGTCTCTTTTATGCTTTGAGATGGATCAACCAAAACAGAACATAATTATTGTGACTGTCTTTTGTTCACTAGTTTGTAATCACTCTTTAGCTTTCTTAAGGGCTTGAGGTACATTTTGGAAAAGGGGTTTAATTGCTCACACTTTCTTTGATGCATGTTGGGTCATGCAATTACTGTTAAGTGGGAATGCTGTGTAGGCACTCTTATAAATAAATAGCACTTTTAAAAATCTCCCGATTATTTTTTTTTTAATCAACCACTGAGAAGCAGTAGAGGTTGAGAGGTTTTTAAAATAAAATAAGTTAATATTTTAAAAGCCTCTCAAGCTCTACTATTAAGATATTATTCTTAACATTGTATTTTAAATTTTGTTCTGTAAAAATGTTACATTCTTGAAAAAATTGCATTGTAGAGAAATGTAACATCCTCTCAAAACCTTCCTTTTACCCATCAAACATAGGGGCCATTATTTTTTTCTATAGGGATTTTTTTTTTTTTCTCTATTATTTTCCTATGTATTTCAAGTTAAAGAGAGGAGACAAAGCAAAAGTAAAACAACTGAGTTTTGAAAATGTTTAAAGTTTTGGAATTTCTTAAAATTATTTTTCGCTTTCCATAGAAATCTTACTTTTTCTCCCTGAATCTTTGCTATTTAAACATGATCACAGACCTTTTTCTGACTCTTTTTTTGATGCAGCCCAAGCTATTGGCATTACAAGGCAATTCTGTTATTTCATTAAGTACCTACAAATCCTAAATAATTTTCCTTTCATTTTAATCTTTAGGCCTGCATTAACTCATTTGTTCTTATTCTGATGAAAATAAAGCATATTTCTGGAATTCAAACCTTGATCTACCAGAGGAAGAAATTTTCCTTCAGATGACTAGAAATGTTTTGGTGGCTCATAGTTCTCATTTTTACTTTAGGATTTGTGATAAAATACGAATCAATCAAAGCAAGATTTTTTTATTCTTGAAGGAGCATTTTAACTCAAGCATAGTGGGAACAGTTAAAATAGAAATTTAAGTACCATTTACAGGCTGACAAAGGAATTTCTTTTCCATTCAGTAGAGTTCTCCTTCAGAAAGTGGGAAGGGGAAGCTCCTTGTCTCACTGGAACAGATTGATGTCCCTGTCTCTGGAAGGGAGTTTCCTAAGCTTCTCTGGGATGAGGTGTAGGAAGGGCTGAAAGGATTGAAACTCAGACTGCTCTTTAGTTACTTTGGGGGACTTTTTTTCTCACAGAAATGGTTCAAGGGGAAAATCACTATACCTCCTCCTCAGACTCCACCTCTGACTTCTTACTTCTTTTGAGTAAAATTTTTTAATATTTTCAAATTAAATTGGCAATAAGTCAGGACAATAAAAACAATATTCATTTACCATAAAAACTATTGCTTGGACAATTCTGTCCCTTTTTTTGTTTTTTTTTGTAAAGTATTTTCTCCATCATGACAATTTGGAGGAACTCATGTTCCTATCATTCTAAGATATTTATTTCCACATGTGGGAGAAAACAAAGTTTGAAAATGTATCTTTGTCCCTAGTCTTGCAAGTAAACAGCTGAAATAGCCTGACTATAAAGCTGTGGTATCCTCACTATCAGTGGAACTGAACTATGGTGTGGCAACTTTGCACTCAAATAGACAGTGAAAACAGACAAGCTTTTGTAAAGAGAATGGAAAGATTTGGACTTGCTTGTCGCCTTTACTAAAAACATAATGAAAGCACTGTGACAAGGAACTTGGACTGCTGTGACTAAGAAGAAAAGAAGACAGGGACTCAACAGTGTATCATGGGCTCCAAACCCACAATAGTCTCAATGCCTATCTCAGAGATCCTACCTAAGGACCAGTCTGTCAAATGGAAGCTGTCATTTGCATGAAAATTAATTTTTGAATGAAAAAAAATCCCATGACTGTTGTCCATTAATTGCATGAGCAGAGCACACCCAGGAGAAAATAAATAGATCCTGTCATAACTGAAATAGGAAAAGGGAGGAGGTGATGGTGGGATGGAAGAGGCAAAGTAATATATAAGACATGACATGAAAGCCAAAGTCAGATAAAGTGGAAGACCAAAATAAGAAAGAACAGTGACACAAAGTCATGGTGCAGTGTTAACAAGCCAATGTCAGGATAAAGGATCATGGATGTTTTCAAGCTGTCTGCAATTTCCTCCAATAAATTGGCTTTAAAGATTTGATAGCATTTCCCACAGGAAGGGCTGCAGCCGTATTAAGATGTATGGTATTGGTTAACCACAGGTTCCAAGTCTCAGTGTGATGTTGTTTCCAGTTCAGAGAAAAGGATCTCTTCTATTAGAAATTATCATTAATAGCAAGATGCCTGTCAGCTGACCTTTCTCAGGGAAAGTATCACTTGTAAAATCTTTCTCAAAAATCTGACTATGTTTCAAATATATAATTTCCATTCTGGGGCCAAACCAGTCTTAATTTTGCTGTAGTGAAGAGAACTCCAGGGATAATTTCTTGTGAAGGCATACAGTTTCCCAGGATATTTGGGATGCCCAGGAGATGCCTGAGCTGTTTGCAAGGGGTGGGAAGGTATAGATACCCATATCCTTCTGATCTGGCAGATGGAAACCAGGTGGAATATCCAAGGGCATCTAATATAAGTAAAAGCCTGCTGATTTTGGCTAGATGTAGGAAGTGAGGAGTTGGTGTTAGACAGACGTGCTGAAATCTTGTCAGAAGCCAGCTCTTGTCACTGCCTCTATATCATATAAACAGTTGACAGA